AAATTAAACCCCCTTTTATTCCCCTTAATGGTAGGTTTTCTTTTCAGGGAAATGTTTTGGCCCCCCGCAAAAAAAGCCCGAATGGTTTTTTGGCCCCCCAAACGGACAACTCCCATCTCCCTTTTTTTCGTTTTGGGGGTGCCCCTTTTCTTCCCCGGTCAAGCACAACAATCCAAAAACAGGTGGCCTTTTCTTACCCTTTAAGGAAACCCTGGCCCCAAGGGGTTCATGGGGGGGGGGGGTTTTAGGTCGAGCAAACGCTTTTCCGCCCAAAATCCCAAGTGCAATTCCCCAAAATCCGGGGGCTGGAATTAAAACACCCCCACACTCCTAAACCTTTTGGGGGAAGCCTTCCCGGAGTCGAACCGGTTCTACTGGGAAAGTGGAAACCCCGGTTTCTTTGCCAGGAAAAACGGGATTGTCCCAATCATTTTCCCCAAATGTTAAAAAAATTTTGGAATTATGGATTAATTTTTTATAATTTTTATTATAAAACTTCTAAATCTTTCCCCTCCAAAAAAATTTTTGAAAACCCAAAAAAAATGCCCCAACGGGAAAAAAAATTAACTGGTTCCCCTTTTATAAACTTCAAAAAGTAAAAACAAAAGGCCAAAAAAAACATGGAAAAACAATCTTTTGGATGAATTGATCCTTTGCCCCAAAGGATTCCCATAACCCCTAACATTTGGGGGGAAAAATTGATAAAATAAAAAACCCTTTCGCAAAATAGTTATAAAAAGGATTTATAAAATTTCAAAAAATTCCCCTTTTAAAACTTAAATAAAGTCAATTAGAAAATTAAGTGTTTATAAATAAATTAAAAATGAAAATGGGATTAGGGTTTAAAAGTTAACCCCTTGTATCAAGGCCGCGTTGAGAAAATTTTTTTTTAAAAAATCAAAAGTGTATATATTTTATTATATTTTCGTTTATATGTTTTAAAATTTTAAAATATGTTTTTTTTTATATAATTTTTATATTATGTTTTATATATGTATATATTTTTTAATTGTATTTTTAAAAAGTATATTTAATATATGTTTTATATATTTTAAAAATATATTTTGTAATTTTATGGGATTTTAATATTATTTTTGGTTTTTATTTATATATACTTTTAAAGTATATAAAGTTTTTAAAATGTTTTTTTTATTTGTATATATTTTCATATATGTATTTTTATTTATGTATTATATGTTTATTATAAATTATGTATATATGATATATATTATATTTTTAATATATTGTTTTAAAAATTATTATATTATGTATAAAGTTTTCCTATTTTATAAATTATGTATATAAAGGGATATATATATAAATTTTAAAATATGTAAAGTATATATGTATATTTTTTTTGATGTTTTATATTGGGAGAATATGTATGTTTTTTATTATATATGTATAAAATATTTTTGAACCTTTGATATATTTTTAATTATATATGGTAAATTGGTAAATATTTAAAATAATATATTTTTTTATTTTTTATGTATAATCATAAAGTTTAATGGGATATAAATATATTTAAAATGATTATTATAATTTTTATATTATATTTTATGATATTTAATGTTTTTAAAAATTTTTCAATATTTTATATATATAATTTATATGTCTTTTATGTATAGTATTTTTAAAGTATATAATTATATATTATATTATATTAATTAGTATTTTTATAAGTAAATTTTGAATTTTTTAATGAGTATTTTATATATAATTATTTTTTATATTTTAAATATGTATATGTATGTATATGTATGTAAATTATTAATATATTTATTATTAATTTTTAAAATGTATGTATATATATTAAAGTATATTTAAATTTTTAATATGTGGGATATATAATTTTTTGGTGTTATTTTTTATAATATAAATGTTTTTTTATTATATTTTTGTTGTATATATTTTTTATATTTTTTTGTTTTATATAATTTTATGTAATATTTTAAAAATTATATAAATGTATTAAATTATTTTTTGTGTTTTTTTTTATATATTTTTGGGGTATTTTTAATATATTTTTATTAATTTTTATAAAGATGAAATTTTTTTGGGTTTATTTTTACCAAAAAAATTGTATAATTTTATTTTTAATTTTGTGTTTTTTTTAATTTTTAATTAAAAATTAGTTTTTTAATAATTTTTTAATTTTGTTTTAATTTTTAAAATTTTGAAAAAAATTTTTTATATATATATGTTTTTTTGTTTTTATTTTTATAATTTTTTTATATTTTTATATATGTGTGTTTTTATATAATTTTTTTATTTTTAGTTATATATTATTTTTAATTTTTGTGTTTTTTATTGTTTTAATATTTTTTAAAAGAAATTTGGGTGTATAATTTATATTTTTTTATATTTTGTGTGTATATTAATAATTTTTATATAATTTTAAATATTTTTCCAATTTTTAAATAAAAGGTGTTCAAAATTTATATTAAAATATTATTTTGTTTTATGAATATATTATTTTATATATATAATTTATTATTTGGGATTTTTAAATTTTATATGTGTATAAATTAATTTTGTATGTGTATAAAATTTTTTGTGTGTAAAAAGAGAGAGATAAACCATTTTCCCCAAAAATAATTTTTTCAAGATAAATGTTCTTAAAAAATTGATAAATAAAAAATTTCTAATGGTTTATTAACCCTTTTTAAAAATTTTTAAAATTTAATTTTTTAGGGAATTACAAAAAAATTGGGAGTTTTAAAATACCAAATTTTACTTTTTATATTGGGGGAAATAAGTGTAATTTTTAAAAAAGGCTTTCCAATTTTAGGTTTAAATTTATTTTTTTGGGAAATCCCACCTGAACTATTTAGAACCCCTGAAAAATAATTTCAAGCAGTGTATGGTGGCGACAGTTGTGTACATCCCTTTGTAAAAAAAGTTAAAACAGAACATTTGTTTTTATGTGGTTTATAAAAATTCTTTATATGATTTTTAAATTTTTTTAAAGCATTTTCCCTTTTCAGGTAAAAAGAAAAACATCTTCTCTTTAAATCTGGGGTTTTAACAAGTTGGGGACATTATAAAAATTATCTGTTTTCCCGGAAAAAAACAGAAACTGTGTTGTATTAAAGGGGAAAAAAATGCGGTCCAATGATTTAACGGTTTTTTTTTTTTAAACAAATTTTTGGGAAACGGGGCCCTTCTCAAGGGCTATATCCTTACTTTTAAAACTAAATTTACTGACTTTGGTTTTTTAATACGGGTGCTTTCCCCCCATCAGTAGGGGGTTTTCCCAAAGTTCCCCCTGACTCACTTTTCCCAACCCAAAAGTTGTTTTAGAAACAATTTTTCGAAAAATTGCCTAATTTGAAAACCCAAAAGGTTATTGATCTCTTTGGGCCCTAAAAATTAAAAAAACACCCTTTTTTTTCCAAAAGGGGCCCATCCTAAATTGCCCAGATTAAAAACATCCCAAACCTTTTTCAACAATGCACGTAAAATGGGGAAAATTACCCTTTTTTGCAAACCCCATCATGCCCGCAAAATATTTTTGCAAAATATTCCCAAAAATAAATTGCCCCAAAAAAAGAAGGGGAAAATCGTAGATTGGGTTTTAAAAAAAGAATTTTTTTTTTATTTTTAAATTTTTGTTTTTTGCCCGATTTTTCAGGGAAAATAGAAAATTTTCAAGGGTGTGCATTACAAGGAAAGGGCCTTTATATGTGTCTACTGCATGCCCTCAGGTAGGTAGTTAAAAATTTTAAATTTTTTTTGCGCCCCCCTTGAGTTTTTTTAAAGTCACAGGTAGGACTTGGCTGGAAAGGGAAAAGTATTGGGGTTTCCCGGGATACTTTTAGGGGGGGCCCCCGGGTCTCGCCACTGAAAATTTGACCCGGGCCCCCCCGGGGAAAGGGCCCGGGATCACGATTACCACCCAACCCCCCTAAAGCCTTTTCACTCTCTATAAAAACTGGGGGAGGTTTGCACTTATGGGGCCCACCCACAATAAAAACTCTGCATCAGTTTTTGAATCTTTTTTTTGTTTTTAGGGAAACATTATGTCCAAAATTCCCCCTTTTCCCACAAAACCCTCTGGTTCTCCCTTCTTTTCATCCTCTAACAAACCTTTTATTTGCCTTTTTTTCCACTGGCTTGACCATGTCTTAAAAGTCCAGAATAAAACGTTGTTTTCTAACCGGCTGTGTGCAGTGAGAGCTGCACGGCTAATAAAGGCCATGGCTTTACATTGGGTTGATGTATAGATCTTTGTCTGATTGTGAGAAGATGATCAGAACCACAAGACTATTTATGTTTGTTTTTTTTTGACCCAAGCCATTAGGGGGAGATGACGGACCTCTCCATCCTCTCATAAACACTTTAGGTTGATTTATACTCAGAAACCAGGTCGTCTGCATGTGTGTCTCAGTGAATTCACCCTCCTGCGTTGTGGCGTGGGATAGCATAGTGCAGACCCTGTTTCAATATTGGGCATAAAACAAAAATATCTGTGACAATCTCAATGTGGCACACTGCTGCAGGGAGTGCCAGCCCTTTAGATTACAATCACACAGATTTAGAGGAGGATTTATTAAGAGAAAACTGTTTATTAGTGCTGCTTTAACAAGCTCTGCCCTGTAGAGTCATTTTGAATCTTCCTGCTTAGTCTGTTTGCTTTTTTTTAGGGATTTAAAGCTATGCATCCGCTATGCAAGGTGAATAATCCTTCTCTCTGTAGATGAATGGTATTACAATAGTTTGATACTTGTCATTCCTGACATCTCTCCACTTTCAAATTGTGTTTACATCAAGTTGTTGGATCCAACCGCTAAACTGTAGAAATTCCTGCTTTTAGAAAAGCAGTTACATGTGCAGATTCTCAAATAAATTTTTATCGATTTTAATCCAAACAACGTTTATATTGTCCCAATAAACTGAACCCTAGAATTAAGAGTGTAACGTTTGACTGTAGTTGGCGACTAATTATTGTTTGGGGTTAAGGAAGAGTTGTGCCCACACACTGTATTTATCTGCAGGTGAGGCATCCGGCATGCCGTCAGAGCAGCTGAGAAAAGTTCAGAAAAGGTTACCTGAAGATGCAGAAATGGCTGTTGATGCTCTGGATGCTCCCTGCTTAGTAAAACCTACAAATGAAGAAGATGCTGCAGCCAGAAGTCAGATGCAGGACGGCGGCAAAGGTCGGTACAGCAAAGAATGAAACTTCACACATTCTTTTTCATTTCTAATTTTAATTTAGTTCAATCTCAAATTTAATTTAGACCTCAGATTTATTATCTGGAGGATATGCTTCCCAGTTTATGTCAAAAATAAAGGGCAGAGCTGAGATTATAAAGCTTTCTCTTTCCTAAATGTGACAAAATATTCATGTTTACCGAAAGAAAAAGCCTTCTTATAATATAAAAATGTAACATATCCACCTATAAACATGTAAACATATAGAAGGAATGCAAACTGTAATATTTGAACTTCTGGATTACCGAACTAATCTTTCTTCTGTTGAGAATTTAAAGGAATAGTACACCCAAAACATGATTAGCCTTCATTTTCTACTCACCCCCATGCTGAACAACACTCTGGAGTACTTTTTTGATATCTCAAATGCATCTGGAGATCTGGGAGGCTTCTTGCTGTCTGCTGACATTCAAATAATGGACGGTCTATGGTGCCCGAGGCAGAAAGGTCCATAAAAGTCCACAAAAAACGTGTCAATATTCCTCCATACTGCTCGTCCAATGTATTCCAAGTGTCCTGAGTGGGTAGCGTCCAGAATTTACTCGAAACGAAGTCATTTAGAATATAGAATGTTATAGAATGTTTTTAGAGCATAAACAGTAGTGTATAGGATTTCCTAAAAGCGCGTTCACGAGTCTACGGAAACCGCGGCAGACCAAACCAGATGAAAGCGCGCATTCAGCGTCTGCTCTGCCGATAATGCAAGCGTAGAAGAAGAAATGTGCTGTTTACCTGTGCAAAGAAAGAAACAACGAAAGAAAAATGTCTGAGGACTTCAGTGTTGAGGAAGAGCATGAGTTCTTTGCCGAGCTGAATGCACAATTTCGTCTGGTTTGGTCTGCCGCGGTTTCCGTAGACTCGTGAACGCGCTTTTAGGAAATCCTATACACTACTGTTTATGCTCTAAAAACATTCTAAATGACTTCGTTTCGAGTAAATTATGGACGCTACCCACTCAGGACACTTGGAATACATTGGACGAGCAGTATGGAGGAATATTGACACGTTTTTTGTGGACTTTTATGGACCTTTCTGCCTCGGGCGCCATAGACCTCCATTATTTGAATGTCAGCAGACAGCAAGAAGCCTCCCAGATCTCCAGATGCATTTGAGATATCAAAAAAGTACTCCAGAGTGTTGTTCAGCATGGGGGGGAGTAGAAAATGAAGGCTAATCATGTTTTGGGTGTACTATTCCTTTAATATAATTCGAAGTTGTTCGACATATTCGATGCATTTTTAAGTTTTCCATTTTTCAGTGGATGAAGCGAAATGATTTGCAGTAAGATGACATTCAGAATGTCAAACTGAGAAAAATATGATAAGCTTAAGAATAAAGTCGGGATGGAAATCTTTCCCTGTAACCTCACTTATTATTATTATTATTAAAATTAACTTTAAAGCTGCTTGTAGCAACATTAGGAATTTAGATTGTTTTTGATTTTCTAACAAATAGAGAAAATTTAAGCTTCGTCAAAAATCTGACTTTTGACTAAATCTGACTTTTGATCATAGATACCAAGGTGAGAATTGTGCAGCGTCTGGGAGTAAATGTTAGACGACTTCTGAGGAAACCTTGAATGTTTAGTTTTGTTTTTTCACTGTTCAACATTGATTCTTTCAATCCTCTCTCAAAAATCCACTATTCCCTGATCAAAACCCGGATATTGCTGTCACGCAACGAGGGTGTATTTTATTTGTTTGCATCACATGGTTCCTGCAGCTTTATCAGAAAGAAGTCTGATGGCAGAACATCGCTAATGTGGGATGCTCATTTAAGACAAGTTTTATTTCAAATATTTTCTGTTCTTCTGAAACAGAATAGACAAAATTCTACTTAAAACAGAAAATGAGGCAGAACATCATTAGTTAGTTAAACTATTGTTAAACATAAGATATTTCAGTGATAAATGCTGAATAGAAATCAATCAGCTTAACAATCAGCTAGCAGAACATTTGTTTCATGTGTAAATGTCAGCAGCAGGATTATTCACCTTATATTTTCTAAACTCAATAATTAATTAAACTTTTTGAATTTCTTTCTCCACTCTTCCATAAATGGAGAAATTCCCCTTCAGGACTTCTTTTCTGAACCTGAGTTTTACAGATATTTCACATCCTTTTAAATTATAATCACAGAATTTTTTGTAAACATGTTGTATAAGCTTTTACATCATTTTAATACATGTAATACGGTTTAATACTGAATAACCAAATTTCAATAACTGTAATTCAAAAAATAAGGTATGTACTACTTCTTACAATTCTTAATACCCTTTTTTGTAAAATTAAAAGTGGTTTATATTTTTATTAATATATATTTGATAGGTTTTATATTTCCATATATATATCAGATGTGGAAAAATCAAAGTTGTTTTCACGTGTTTAACCCCAAACCTTAATTAAATTCACTTTTTCACTTAGAGTTCCTTATATATCCACTAATAGTTAAGTATACAGTAGTACAAAAATCATCAAATACAATAAAATATTAAGTTGAGGATCTCTATTTGAATACAAATCTATAGTCAGAGAAAAGAAGAGGAAACAAAGTTCATATTTCAATAACAGTAACTTTATAACATTTTATTATGGAGTCATTTTACAGTCAAACGGCGAGATTCGGAGTTATTTTTTTGTTTTTGTTTTCTTTTTTGATGTAATGGTTTACTGAATGTATCTGTTTGTGATGGAAAAATGCCCTTCAGTTTCCTCCTGGTTCATTTGGTTGCATTTGGTCTGCAGGTCACTCTAACACAAAACAAAATAATAGATGGAAGCGAAAGATTCGTACAAGTGAGTGCCCTTTCTGAATGTTTCAATTCTCTGCTTTTTAACATTTTTTTTTTTACTAACTCTTGTTTTATGCTGCAAGATTTTATAGTTTATTTAATGTCTGCAAGTCTTTCCTTGTTTTGTAAATGGTTCACTGCTGATCGGCTGGTTTTCTGGTTGAACTGTGAAGAATAATAGGACCAACAAACATTCTTTATGTGTAAATGTTTAGTAAAAATCCAATATAAATACAGGTGCCTCTCAAAGTATGAATCCAACACGTGATTTTGCTTCTTTATTCACTGAATTAATACATTACATGTAAATTGTTTATTTGGTTATATAAGCTTTTCATTTAACTGTAAATTTAAGAATATAAATGCACCGGTTCTATACGACTGACCTCCACAATCAGACAGATTCCCAGTTTAAAAGTTGTGCAGCAGACAGGAACCGACTGCTGGGAAGTTTCTGGTGGAAAAATGTTGTTAAGCAACAGGAATGATTGGAGCCTGGAGGATTATTGACCAACAGATGATGCGTTTGAGGGAGATTCACAAGGAATTGACTTCAGCAGACTCTGCGCTTGGAGAGCCCCTCAGACCTATGAAGAACATGAACTACAGCTGATGCTTTCCTTATATGAAGCAACTCTGGAAACCATAGCAACAGATGCTAGTGTCCTGGGTTAGAAGGAATAAAGATTGGACAATTTCTCTGTGGCTAAAAGGTCTCTTTTTAGATGAAAGTGAATTTTTCATTTCATTTGGAAATCAAGTCGGAGTGTAAGTGGTGCCTTGCAGTAAGAAGATCCTTGGTTTGAACCCCTGCCTACAGTTTTTAAAGTTTTTTTTTTTCATTGTTCTCTGTGTCCATGCCTGGGTTCTCTTCTGGTACTCAGGGTTCCTCCCACAATACATAAACATACATATTGTATTGATTTATCTCTAAACTGCTCTTCGAAGTGAGTTTGTGTTCTGTGTTGGACTTGTGACCCGTCATCCCTCTGTTTACTCGGTATCTCAGCCAATGAAAGAGGGAGATTGGCCCTAATGGTATCCTGTAAGAAAAACTGAGTATGAAAAGGATGGTGAAATAAAGGTCGCAGAGTGTGGAGGATTGGAGAGGCAGAGACTTCCAGTTGCTAGAGATTCAAAGTCCCTAACAAAGATGAACCATGTTCTCTGCTGGTTATGTCTTTTTCTGTTGACAAGCTTCATTTTACACAATGATAAGAAATCTGCCCAAAGGGCCATAAGGGCCGATGTCAACCTTAATGGCTTAGCTATGGATTAACCAGCTACCTGGGCTAACCTGAACCACATGGAGAATGAGATGAATGAGACCTCACCTACGGAGGGTTAAAGGGGACCAAATTAAATAAATAAATGCATCATGAAATAAATAAATGCTGATGTACCATGAAATGTTAAAATGTAAAAACAAAATAACATGTACCATGATATGGTAAAATATACTATATTCGTTTGATACATACACTGCTCAAAAAATATTTAAGGAAAACTTTAAAAACACATCAGATCTCAATGGGGGGAAAAGTTATGCTGTTTATTTATACTGATACGGACTGGGTGATGTGTTAGGAACAAAAGGATGCGACATCATTTGATTGAAATGAAAATTATCAACCTGCAGAGGGCTGAATTCAAAGACACCCCAAAAATTACAGGGAAACAAATTATGCGGCAGGGTAGTTCATTTTGCTGAAATTTCATTGCAGCAACTCAAAATGGTATTAAGTAATTTGTATGGCCCCCACGTGCGTGTATGCATGCCTGACAACGTCGGGGCATGCTCCTAATGAGACGACGGATGGCGTCCTGGGGTATCTCCTCCCAGATCTGGACCAGGGCATCACTGAGCTCCTGGACGGTCTGAGGTGCAACCTGGCGGCGTCGGATGGATCGAATCATAATGTCCCAGAGGTGTTCTATTGGATTTAGGTCAGGCAAGCGTGGGGTCAATCAATGGTATCAATTCCTTCATCCTCCAGGAACTGCCTGCATACTCTCGCCACATGAGGCCGGGCATTGTTGTGCACCAGGAGGAACCCAGGACCCACTGCACCAGCATAGGGTCTGGCAATGGGTGCAAGGAGTTCATCCCGATCCCTAATGGCAGTCAGGGTGGTGTTGTCTAGCCTGTATAGGTCTGCGCGTTGCTCAATGGATATGCCAGCCCAGACCATCACTGACCCACGACCAAACCGGTCATGCTGAATGATGTTACAGGCAGCATAACGTTCTCCACGGCTTCTCCAGACCCTTTTATGTCTGTCGAATGTGCTCAGGGTGATCCTGCTCTTGTCTGTAAAAAAGCCCAGGGCGCCGTTGGTGGACTTGCCAATTCCAGTGTTCTGTGGAAAATGCCAGTCAAGCTCCACGGTGCCGAGCAGTGAGCACAGGGCCCACTAGAGGATGTCAGGCCCTCAGGCCACCCTCATAAGATCTGTTTCTGATTGTTTGGTCAGAGACATTCACACCAGTGGCCTGCTGGAGGTCATTTTGTAGGCCTCTGGCAGTGCTCCTCCTGCTCCTCCTTAGACCTTCTACGGCCCTGTCCAGCTCTCCTGGAGTCACTGCCTGTCTCCTGGAATCTCCTCCATGTTCTTGAGATTGTGCTTGGAGTCACAGCAAACCTTCTGGCAATGGCACGTATTGATGTGCCATCCTGGAGGAGTTGGACTGCCTGTGCAACCTCTGTAGGGTCCAGGTAGCGCCTCATGCTAACAGTAGTGACAGTGACCCTAGCCAAATGCAAAACTGGTGAAAAAGAGTCAGAAAAGATGAGGAGTGAAAATGTCAGTGGCCTCCATCTGTAAAACCATTCCTGTTTTGATGTTCGTCTTGTTGTTGCACCTCTAGTGCACCTGTTGTTAAATTCATTAACACCAAAGCAGCTGAAACTGATTAACAACCCGCTCTGCTACTTACCTGACCAAATCAATATCCCAGAAGTTTAATTAACTGGATGCTATACTCTCATTACAAAGTGTTCCTTAAATTTTTTTGAGTAGTGTACAGAATAATTAAATGGGCCATTAAATGCAACTAGAAATTAAAAAAGAAATTCGTGAGATGCCACATTTTAAAATTGAAAAAAAAAAATAAAAATCTAATTGAATGGTAAATTGTGAAATCAAATGACTAAATGTAGTTAAATGTTGCATACAAAAATAAAATTAATTTTTTAATACATGATTAAATTAAATGTAGAGTGAAATAAATGAATGTACCATGAAATATTGAACTGTAAAATCAACTAAACTGACTGATTTAATACATTATTAAATAATTTGTGTCATTAAATGCACCATTAAATGAATACATGTTCCTTTATACGTTCTATTATATTAAAAAATATACACTTATTTAATATACTAATGAATAATGAAATGAAAATGTACCCTGAAATTAACCATAAAAGAATAAAATGTAAAATTTAATTAATAACTGTGCCATTAAACATTAAATATGTATATATCAATAAATGTACCGTAAACAAATACTGTAAAACTGCATAAAAATTATATTAAATGTCCATCATTGAATAATTGAATTTCATTAAATGTACTGTGAAATAAATGTCCTATGAAATGTATTTATTTACTTATTTATTAATTGAACAATTAAATGTACCACATGACAATGACGTGTACAGTTAAATATTAAATGTACCATTAAAGTACATTAAACTAATAATGTTTAGATTTTATAGTCAAAGGCCGCTTTAAATATGTTTTCGATCTTGATTTAAAGCAACTGAAGGATTCTGAGCTTTTACGGTTTTCTGGGACTTTATTTGAGATGGGTGGAGCATAATAACTTAAAGCGGAATCTCCATGTTTGGTTCTGGTTCTGCAGAGTTGATCTGGTCCGGTAGACCAGAGAGGTCTGGCTGTTGATCCACTGCCAACCAGTCAGTAATGTATTTTGGAGGGAAGCCATTCAGTGATATAGAGGCTAACAGGAGTATTTTTAAAGTCTATTCTCTGAGATACGGGGAGCCAGAGCAAGGCATTTAGAACTGGGATGTTTTTTGTTTTTTCCCTCACTCACTCCACAGGGTGAGCAACTCCAGCCTCTACACTAGATGTCAGTGTGATTCAACTTTTTTGGTTTTCCAGGATTCATTTGGTTTATTTTACTTTATTTAGGTCCTTGTATGCTTTGATTTCATCATGAATAACTTAGTTGGACTCTTTGTTGTGTTGTCTACCTTCCATTTTCACCAAATGTCACTTTAATTTACACAAAGTGTCACTGGGGGAGAACCACCTCACCACCTCACCCTTTTGTTCCAGCTCACTCCTGTATATTAACCCCTTTCTTCCGTAGCTTATTATCATAGTTGCTTATTGCCACACTTTTAATTTCTAATCTAAAAGACTATTTTTTTCCTTGCCGTGCATCTGTATTATTAAAATGATTTTGAGAATTTGAAAAAATCTCCTAAAATCTAATGTCACATCTAATGTGACATTTGATCTAATGTCACATTAGATCAAAGTGCACAGCATGATAACCTCATTGATCTAGGTGTAGGTAAAAGAAATTGTCTTATTGCTGTGTTTTTATTAATGCCATGATCTCTGTTGTGTCGTTGTGCGCAGCTTTCCCTCTGATCTTCATCAAGCATTTCCGCTCACGACCGGAAACTGTTCCTGAAGCTGATTCTGACTTTGAGGAAGTCACTTCAACTAAAACAGGAAAGGTACATGACATCCACAGTCCTTTTTACCTTATAGGGTACTGGAAATACACAACATCTTTAGGCCATTATTTCAGTCTTTTTTATCACTAATAGGATTTAGTTTTTAAAAAATCACCTTGGTAAGATAAAAAAAAAAAAGCTAGGTCATATGATTTAATCCTGTCCAGGATGTCCATCTTGGAAAGTCAACTTAATGTTGGCCAGACAGCCACTTAATATGAACAAAATCTCAAGAACTAAGTTTCCCAAATAATTTTATCCCTGCTGTATGTGTTTATATACAATTATTAAAGGCAGAGATTTAATTTCATTTTATAAACTAATACATAAAATATCTAACCCCCCATTTTTCAAGGATCCAAAGAAATTTATTTTCTTAGATTTGTCCCAGTTATTTATCCCCTGATATAATATTGTTGTTTTTAATTGCAGTATTTATGTCACTAGTTGAAATTTTTAAGGCTATAGAAACTCTGAAAAGGCCTTAATTGAGATTCCACGAAAATTAGAGATAATGCTTTTGTATCCACTAGGTACAACATTTCTATAAATGCTATCATTCCAAGATACATGTTGTATTATGTGGATGATTAAACCCAATGGAATACCTGTAAACACACTAGGATGTAGATTTAATCAAGAGTCCTTGATAAGCTAGTCTGAAGAACTAGGAGAAACCCCCGTGTGACTGCAAGACACTTACAGGATTAGCTGATGAAAGCGGATATGAGTGCAGCTTTAACACAGGCACTACATAAACAAGGATTAACTCCTAGACACACTCGGCTATGGACCACCACAGACCTCAGCAGTGGACTGGAAAAGGCCAGGAGAAAAAATATGCGCTGGTTAACTGGAGGATAAAACAGCCTGAATCTATCCATGAAATTTAATTCCTTGAACATTTAAATTTGTTTAAACATTGCTATAAATTATCACTTATTTTCAACCAATATATAAATATTAAACCTATGAACTCTAATATAATCATGAATTTTCGCTTCCCAGAGTTGCATTTTCACATGGAGCTTTCTGATTGAAAACACAAATAAAACTCAATTACACATATCCATTGTCTGATCCTGCAGAAAGTTTTGCTGCATGAGATATTTTTCTTATTTGATTTACTTTATTTTGACTGCATTTGTTGGCTGAGTTTCTGAGCTGGAGGAAAAAAACATAGTGGCAGGAAGACATCCTTACAGAATTTAAATCCTCAGCTTCATTTACTGTGGCTGAGTTCCACTGAACTAGACAATGAAGTAGTTTTCTGGACAGAAATGATCAGATTTTTCATTCATTTAGTAGATTTTTTATGGAACACATAAAGTAAAATTAAAAAAGAAATACTGTACTTTCCAGACTCCAGAGTGCACCTTAATATAAGCCATGCCAACTAAATATTTTTTTAAAACTGGAAACCTACATAAATAAGCCACGCCATGCTATGAGGGGTTGTGTATGCTTAAGCAGCAGTGTGTCGCAGTTAGCTTGTTGCAGGTATGATGCAGATATTTTTGATTTATTCCCAATTTTGAAGCGTAGTCTGCGCTATATGTTATTCCATGCCCCCACGCAAGATGGACGATCACGAACTAGCTCGGATTGTGGGTGTCTGTGTGTCGATTTGACGATCTTGTTCGCCTTCTACAACCCCTCAACGCCGGACGACACATAGTTCACCCATGAGTGTTCCCGAAAGACTGGCCGTGGCACTGCGTGTTTTGGCTTTGGGTGCAAACCAACAGACCGTCCACAGAGCTACAAACTAGTTTCCTGTAGGCCCTACGGTGTCTGGGATAGTGTCAAGGTGTGCCAGGCGTTGTGGACGGCACTACAGCCAGACTTTCTGCCATTAGATACCAAACAGGAAATACGCATTGTCTGGCACCGTCTGTGGTCCCCAACAATTTTGGAGAGTTGCAGCAAGGTATTTGCGGAAAGGGCAGCCTTTAAGCTGCTGATATCTACTGAACTGTCTCTCAACAATCCTGTAGGGGGAGCTCTACATACAGGCCCTAGAGTAGGGGCGAAGAAGAATGCTAGCTCCCGTTAGCTTGTCGGCTAGCAGCAGTAAAAGCATCTAATGAACGATGGAGCTTCGTCAGATCTTTCTTTCAGCTCTGCAGAAGTTGAGCCCATCTCTTCATTGGTTTGTCAGCTTTAATGCTGCATATAAATGGCAAAATGTATGAACATCTGTTCGCCATCGTGCCTGCTGCTAGCATCTTCTTGTGCTAAATGAAAATCAGCTACCATAGTAAACTAGCCCCAACCGCTGGCAGCCAAAATCCTTTTTGCCTGTGAGTTTAGTCTAGCTTCGATCAATGCCTCGGGCCCTAGAAATGGCTGGCCAATCACAACGCAGAGATGTGTTTTGAATTCCTGGATGCAAAGCGGGCGGGGTTTTGAGGGCGTGACGACAAAGCTGCGAGACGCTGGAGAAAGCACAGCAAGGAAGATGGCAACAACTAATAAACAGTAGCATGCACTGCGACAGCAGCAGCTTTCAATGGAGCGCACCATTGAAAGTTAAAAGTTCTCTTTTCTGTCGCTGTTGTTCAATAAAAGTTTGTTTTAAGATCATTTGAGGCGAGAATATTATACTTTAAAGCGTCACTATATGGTCCATTTACCGACTTATTTACCGTGTGTGAAGGACTCAGCTTTAGAATCAGTTTAGGAAGGATTAGACTTGGGGTTTTCATTGAAACGTTGAGCAGGAAGGGGCTCTATGCTAATTCGTTTTTGAGGACGTATTCGCCGTTTTACCGACAGGCTGTTTTTTTACACTCCCCCACCAGCTTTCTGTCGTGCTTACTCATGAGCTCCTTGGTCAGAGCATTGGCCAATAGGCACAGACATGGTTTGAAAAAAACGGGTTGTTCTCATCAACAATCTTCCCATGTCTCATTCATCGGGGCCAGACTAAATGACACATTTAGTCTCACATTTAGTCCCACATTTAGTCCCACATTTAGTCCGGTTTATCAGGCTAAAAATCAGCTCCTTATTCTTTCATTTCCATCTTTGATTTCCCCCTCTGGCAATTAGGAAAGATCCACAGAAAAGCTGCACCTTCTTATAAGCTGCATGGTTCAAATGTTGAGGGAAAAAGTAGTGGCTTATAGTTCAGAAAATACAGGTTGTACAGTACACTTAAAATAATTTATTAATTTGTCAAATTGAGATTAAAATCCTTTTTACTCTCTCCAGATTGTTTAGGAAACAAAGCAGCTTTCTGTGTAGATTAAAAGGAAGAATACGGAAGTATGAAAAAGGCTCTGATCTCCCTGCAGAAGCTGCGCTACTAATCAATATGAGGAACAGATTCCCTCTGTGAATCTACCTTACAAAGGCAGCATCAAAAGACGAGGCTCTCCTCCTGAGTAAGATCGTGTTTAATCACGTGGTCCTTTGCATAAAATAATCCCATTGCAAGTGTTGCAGACAGCTGATTCTTTCATTAATGTTAAGCAATTTGAGCGCACACCACACCTGCTATTGGACTTTCAAACAAAATGTTTATTCAATCCAAACAACAAAGTCAACCAAACATTGTTAATGGAAAAACTGGAAGAATCAACAGTGGCTTTTTAATGTGAATTGAAACTCATGGTGAGATTTGATGAATATGTGACAGAAGCCCACAGAAAGAGGAGCAATCTCTTCTGAAAGGTGCTAAAAGGTTGTCAGCACAAAGCACTGATGCTGCGGGTTAAAAAAAAACAATGCAATGTGGGTTACATTTTCCCTTCCATCTTTAAGGCTTACTCAACTTCCCTTGTAAATCTCAGTTTTTTAAATAAGTTACAACATTACTGCAGTATCTTTATAGATATTTTTCTGTGAAATAATTAGGAAAAAATCTCATTATTCTAAGAACCTGCTGACCAAAGGCTGTCCTGTTTTTCTCCTTTATAAAGACCCAGCAAATGACTGAGCTCACAATGGGATGAGAAAACTGCCCAAGCCAAAAATAGAAAGATGGTTTCTCTTTTTCATATAGGGTTTTCTTAAATAGAAACCAAGGTTTCCAGGAAAACTTTGGGCCGTGCAGAGGGAGCCCAGCAAGGATTTGATGCCAAGTTAACATTTCTTTAATTAATCTCCACCTGTTTTTAAGGAGCCAAAAACCTCCGATGTACAGAATCTTTCTGAGGGAAAGAAGACGAATGAAAAGCCATCAGCTGCAATAAAGTCCGTCTCCAGCACAAAGAAGCGTTTGTTTTTATCCCAGTCTGATAAAGAGAAGCTTCTGAATTGGGAAGAGTCCCTGAAACAACAGGAAACTCCCGTTAACAATAGCACTACACAAGAAAAAGACAAGGTGAGGATATGCTTATTAATATCCCAAAATAAAAATGCAATTCAGAGAAATGTGAGAGAAATGAATTCATGATTTAGTGACCAATTTTTTTTCCCTTTCCTCTGATGTTTTATCAGGTACAAGCAGATGCAGATAAGCTTCAGACAAACACGAGCCAGATCGGAACAGCCTGCGCCAGCCAAACGTCTGCATCTTCCTCCTTTGCTATCCAGGTCATAGCTAATGCCTTCAGGAGAACCTTTAGTGGAGGCAGTCAGCCTAGCAGCTCCAAGACTGCAGTTGTAATGTAAATACAGATTATTTTTTTAATCTATTAATTTAGGCACCAGAGAACTTCTGATCTGATGTTTTTTTCCCCCAATGTTTCGTCTTACAAGGAGGCCCAAAGATGACGTCCCACGTAGACCGAGGCCCATGTCTGAAGGAGCATTTAGCTTCAGCTCACTTTTCAGTCCTTCAGAGTCATCAACAGCAGAGAAGAGGACAAGCATGCATGATATCAAATGGGCGTCTGTGGGAGCAGACCCATGGGGGGAGGGGCAAAACCTACCTACCTTATTGGAGCAAGTGTCCCTGAAAAGTCGGAGAGACTCTGAAGGGGTGTCAGGGGAGCTTTGTTCACTGCCCCGTAAAAGGGTAGATTTATTCTCATCTCTTAGGCTCAGAAAGAGGGGCCTATTGGATGGTGAAAGGAAGGGACAAGAAGCTCAAAAGGAAATAAAGACTTTTCTGTCCAACCTACGAAATCAAGGTGAGAGAAAAGTCCCCACATGGATTTAACTGAGCAAATAGGCAAATAAGTTTTCACCTTAAACAAGCCGTATGACCCCAAATGTTGCAATTTGTTAAACAACCATGTCGAAGCGCATCCTCTGGTGTTGGAAAAGGGTTCAATCATTGGTATGTATCAAGCAGACAAAACATCTAAGAGATTTAGAAATGACCAAACCTGAGTTAAGAACGGTCCAATGCCTTAAAAAAAAAAACTGGAACGATAGTTGGGACTAGGATAGTTGAGGCTAAAAAGAGAAAACGACAAACAGATAGTCTGCAAGGAAAAATAAAAGTCAAAAAATAGAAGAAGTTTAGCCGCTGGTCCGACCTGCCCCGGCTGTGCCCTCCAGAGAGCAGCAGAGTTTCTCACACCCTTCAAGCTGAACCTATACGCGTAGCGCGGTTCTCAATCAAAAGACACAGGAGGCTGGCCGGTTGACTGTTTGTTGACTTTTGCAAGGAGGCCACTAGGGGCGCTAGACATAAAAGTTACAGGTCTAGCACCCTAGAGGCCAAAAGTTACACAGTGTACCTTTAAACATTTGGTGAAAACAAATTGAGAAACAACAACAGTAACACTCTGGGCCAGGGACCATAAAGATTGGACTCTGTAGCAATAGAAGAAAGGCCTGTGGTCTGAGGCCAAATGTATCCTGTTCTAGACTGATGGGAGTTTCAGGGTAAAAAGTGAGGCAGGTGATGCAGCCATGATGCCTTTAGCCCACTGCATGGGAGCAGTGCTGTTATCTGGGGTTGCTGTAGTTGGTCAGGTCTAAGTTCAATAACATTATGAGCTCAGAGAATGAGGTCAGCTGACTGCCTGAATATGCTGAATCTTCCCTGATGGTACGGGCATATTCCAAGGTGACAACGCCAGGATTCATCATACTCCAATTGTGAAAGAGTGGTTCAGGGAGAACGAGACTTCATTTTACACATGGATCAGCCTCCATAGAGTCCAGCCCTTTTCCAGAGGAAGTTTCAGCTCCTTCCAAAGATACTAAATAGGATCTCGGTCTGGCTTTATAGAATAGTCCAATGCTTTCCTGTTAGCCATTCTTGGTTACTTGTAGCTGTATGTTTTGGGTCATTATCCGGATGCAAGACCAGCTTCAGCTCTAGACCAATTTCATCATGGCGGCCCAGGTGGGGCCAGCGTTTTTTTCATTGGTATACAGAGCAAAAGCTTAAAGGAATAGTACACCCAAAACATGATTAGCCTTCATTTTCTACTCACCCCCATGCTGAACAACACTCTGGAGTACTTTTTTGATATCTCAAAGGCATCTGGAGACCTGGGAGGCTTCTTGCTGTCTGCTGACATTCAAATAATGGAGGTCTATGGTGCCCGAGGCAGAAAGGTCCATAAAAGTCCACAAAAAACGTGTCAATATTCCTCCATACTGCTCGTCCAATGTATTCCAAGTGTCCTGAGAGGGTAGCATCCAGAATTTACTCGAAACGAAGTCATTTAGAATGTTTTTAGAGCATAAACAGTAGTGTATAGGATTTCCTAAAAGCGCGTTCACGAGTCTACGGAAACCGCGGCAGACCAAACCAGACGAAAGTGCGCAGGTCTCCAGATGCCTTTGAGATATCAAAAAAGTACTCCAGAGTGTTGTTCAGCATGGGGGTGAGTAGAAAATGAAGGCTAATCATGTTTTGGGTGTACTATTCCTTTAAAATAAAAATAAAGGTGCTCTGGTCACATCAAGCTGCTTGGACATGGTCTTATAGCCTTTAGCTTTGATATGCTGTTCAAGAATTTTCTTTCTAGTCGAAGACACTGCGCTTCCTCTGGTCCATGTTGAGTGTGGTACACACTATGTCACCATTAGCCTACTGTATAGGCCCACTGACTGATGTAGACACCTGTGATGCTTATCAGTGGACATACCTGGATTTAAAAATGTCCCTTTGGTCACATTATTTTCTATCTATATCTAGGGGTACCATCATTTTTTTTCCCCCGGCTGGTTTCATAAGTTTATTTTATTTAGTTATTGCGTTAAAGCATAATTGAAAAGTAATGTCTTTCATTTGCTTATTTTCATTTTTCTTCATTAATTCTGTCAGATTGAAGTCATTTTGTGACCATTGAGGATTTCCTTTCATAAAAGCAGAGTACCAACTAGTTTTTCCACTTCTGTAGATATATATATTTGCTTTTCTGCAAAAGCAAATTAGTGGGTTTATGTATAAAAAGCAGATCAGAATGTTACCTGTTGAAACTTTCCTGAATTTATTTTTTAATGACTATATTTCTAGCTTCAAGTCAGCAGAGTTTGGAAAAGCTTTCATCAAGCGATGATGATGAAAGTGAAAAGCTGACATCCAACAAGGTTTGTACAAACTTATTTTTTGTACATTTGAGCAAATGTAATCCAGTTGACTGTGTTTGAGAGATTATATCTTTCATTTCCCAGCTATCCTCTGAAAGACTAAGGAAAAAGCAGGAAAAGACGGTGGCCCAGCAGGCTAAACGAGAACAGTTGAAGAGGCTTCATCGAGCTCAGGTGCTCCTTTTTTTCTTTAAATGGAGATGCTTGTGATGGAGAGCTTGGTGTTGCTGCAAAACACTTCAGCTAAAGTGTGACTGTATCAAATTGTGAATACAGCAGTAATAAAAGGTGAACACTTGGCTTTGTAAATATTTTAGATATTTTCCTGGAAGGTCTCTAAAGAGCTGAGTCTGATGCAGTTCAAAGAGATCCATTTTAAGCTTGTAAAACAGTGTTGAATTAGCAGTTTTGACGAAATCAGTTGTTCCCTCAAATTAACTCGATACGCACACAATGTTTAAACTGTTGCACCGTGACATCACCGAGCAGATGAAGCTAAGGGACCTTGCACTGCTCCACCTTCGGCTTGGAGGGGCCCCATAGATGTTGAGACAGGATTATGATCTGCATCATATGCAGAATCAACTTTTATAGAAAGTTTGAAGGTCATGATGTTAATCCTTCTTCAAAAGAAGTACTTTACTTCATTCTCACATCTCTAAGTTATCCTTAAGGAGAGAACACACTGAATCAGATTTTGCATCCAACCCAACAGAACATCATGTGTGGCGAGGTCATGGCGTTCAGCGCTCATCATGGATGATCACACCCGATGCGATTTTACGCAAGGTGGCTGCGAAGGTCCGAATGAGATAGACTCCAGGTCTGTTTCAGTCGGACTACGCAGCAATTCAGCAGCAATTTGATGGGTCTGACAGGAAGAGAGACGCGGATGTGTTTTACAAAGTAAACCACATCTGCTTTTGGGGGTAATACAGAATAAAATCTATTAATCGCTCAGGGAAAGAGTCAGTTTTGGAGTCGCATATCCATCCAATCCATATCCATATCAGCATGTACAAAGTAGCTCATAAAAGGTTAACATGAGCTATAACTGCTGAAATAAGAGTGCTCTGGTGATAGTTTTTTTGCTGCATTTCTGTGGTTGACTTTGGTATTGTACAATATGCAGGCTAAGGGCAGATAGCCTTCATAGCTGGCTAAACAGCTGCAGCAAATATCTAGCATTTCATAGACATCAATACATCAGTTGATATTCTAATCACCAAGTACAATTAACAAGACATTCATGTTACTTCTACAGAGTTATTTTCCAAGCCTTGGTATGAATAGTCCATCCATTTGGTTTAGCCAAGAAAGTCGGACAACCAGGTCTAGACGGCGGCCATATTTTCTATGACCCTGCAGCCAATGTGGGGCCTTCTACTCTTAATTATGTCTATTCCACTATATATCTAATGTTCCACCTTTTTCTTTTTACTTGCACAGGTGATCCAGAGACAACTGGAGGAAGTGGAAGAGAAACAGCGGGATCTAGAGGAAAGAGGAGTGACAATAGAGAAGATCATTAGAGGGGAAGGTATTTGTGCATACATTCGGAGCAGTCTCCCAGAACTCACAGTTATTATTAGACTGAGCTATTAGAAAACATTAAAGTTTATAATGTGGCTGAGAGAGAAAAATGGACTGAACCGCCCCTTTATGTCAGAATATGCAATTTTCATCAGTAATAAGGCATGTAATCTGCACTTCACCGGAATACTCACCTGGAACATTATCCAGCCAATTGCTAACGCCAAAGTTGCTAGAGACATTTTAAAAAGTGACAAATTTAAATTTTTTACTGCTAACAAAACTAAAAAACAAAATCCCATATTTCGAACCATTTTTCTTGATTAAACCATTTCTAAAAACTTTCCAAAGCATAACCTTTTAGCACTAAACCATTTAGAAAGAGGCATCATCTTATAACTGTCTGGTTAAAAGACTCCATAGTTAATGGTGGCACTCACTCTGGCCACTAAGACTGCTTTGTTGATTCCTCTCACAGTAGACGGCTTTGTTTATGCTGCAGAGAACAGTGAAGTTGTGTCAGACTTGCGTCTATGAGTGGTCAAACTGATGGATTTCTCCTAGTTATGGCCTTGCAGGGCTGAGATAAGTCATTTAGATTAACTACAAGTGTTCTTCCTCTCTTAACTTGTTTTCCTCTAACTCCTGTCCCTAAAGACTCCCATCACACAGAGGAACTTGACGACACCGAGCTCTATCAAGCCTGGTTTAAGCTTGTTCTGGAAAAGAATAGGTTGGCACGCTACGAGTCAGAGCTCATGATCTTGTAAGTAGCAGTAAGGTAATCAGCTACATGGCCAAAAAGCATCAAACAGATTCATTGCCGTTAAGGATCTATTTCTTTTGTTTCTTAGTGCCCAGGAGCTTGCGTTGGAAGACACCCAAAGCCGGCTGCAGCAGGATCTAAGACGCAGAATGGCAATTGAAGGTACGTTCTTAATCTGAATGTTTTATGGTCATGAATAAGGAGCACAGGCCTCATTTTCATCGCTGCTTTTTTATGTTCTTTCAGATACAGATAAGAGTGCTTCTGAGCTCCAAGAGGAGAAGGAGATCCTGGTTGAGATCATGAGGACGGTGGAGAAACGGGATCTGCTAGTCTCCATATTGGATGAGCAGAGGTTGAAGGAGAGGGCCGAGGACAAGGACCTGGAAAGCCTGGTTTTGTCCAGGGGCTACGAGTTTCACTGGGCTTGAGGGAGCAGCATCCTGAGGCAGGAGAAGCTGGAATGAGCTCTGGTTGTGGATATGTTCAGCAAAACCGTTTGCTTTCTAATTGGCCTATTTTAAGTTGGTGTAGATGCACATTTTTTGATAGCTGAAGCCTTTATTTACCCTAATAAAGCTTATTTTTATTTGGCCTTGGGTTGGTATACTTTATGTAGAATCCAACAAGGAACAAAAGGGCTTCAGATAAAAAACTATATATATTCAATAACTGAGGTTGTTGAATATTTGCGATTTGATTTCAAACTTACAATAAACTCAGATACTTTATTGTGGCCGCTTGCAAACCTGAACGCTTTGGGCTGCTTCCAGTTCTAAGACCGTTCCTTTTGTGTTCGACCAATTACTGGTAAACTTTAACTGGCGAGGACAACACTGGACACTTTTCTGAGGTTTATGTACGTTTTGCACAGAGTGAACTGATTTAAATCAAAGTGTTGATTCCAAAAGATGCCTTGTATGTAAAAATCACTGTTTGTTACTTTGCGTGGAGCTGTGCGTCTCACTGTTATTTCTTTTCCATCCTTGATATTTTGTTTAAAGTATTTGCAACCTGACAAAGAAACAAGAGTTAGGATTTCTGCCTGACCTTCTGGCTTACTCTCAGGGTATAAAATAGATGCTCCACCGGTGGGCCATCTTCCAAATCAGAGCCCACCAACCCACTGCAGATGCAGCACATGTTCACAAAATCCAGATGTTCACTGTTTTCTCTTTCTGCTCCACAGTGAATGTTTACTCCTTCCGCCACTCGCTTTTTGTCTGACACTGAAGAGCTTCATGTCTATATATCAGCATTTATGATAATGAGTGATATGTTTACATTTTTTTTTGTCATGAAAAAAGTCAAAATGCCTGTCATTATTTCTCCTGTTATGGACATTTGCTGTTTTTTTTATGTGCTGTGAATTTATTAAAAATAAAAATTAATCTTATAGTATGTCATAAAAGCATGAATCTGTACTTTGTTTTATGTGCATGAAATAGAAAAAAAAGCCTTAAATAAAAATAATTTGATACGGTCTGAAGCATTCTCTTTGGGCAGTAGTTTTTCTGCGAGGTTGATTAAGTCCTAAGAACTGTGGAGACATTATTGATGCATATTGCAGTATATTTATTGGTAGAAATGTGTAATAGTTAAAAAGCCTCTGAGCATAAAAGGAAGTCTTATAATAACCAGTTGTACAAAATAATGTATTAGTGTTTTTGTGTGTGATTGGATGTAAGATTAAATTACATCCCCCCCCACTCGATAAACAACCAATCACATTCACTTTCTTCACTCGTTTAAAGTTGTGCACCACTTGGGAGAAGTTGGAAATGCGACGTTTGGGACAGTCGTTTCCCTACGACTTTAAGGTCAGCTCTAACAGCATCTCAGGATCATCCATTATCAACCTGGTTTCATTTACCCGCATGTTGAAGAGAACATACAGACTTTAACATCAGGTGGGCTGGATGAGGGATGCTAAAAAATAAAGGACAGAGGACCCCGAGGACCAGGGAGAAACTCTGCCACCTACAACCTGCAGGACAGAAGAGGGTCCTCAGGAATAGCAATGATAACCATGGATTATGCTGACCTTTAAATGTCTAAATGCTTTTGCTCTGCAGAATAAATATATATGGTGCAAATATGCAGTGTTTTTGGTTTGGTGTTATCAGTGTGATGCAGAGTCTGTGACATGATTTAGAGCTTTTTTAACATTTCAACTGTCTGATGGTGGTGGCGAAGAAGGTGTTGCAGAATCTGCTGGACCTGCATTGAATGCTGCGAAGCCTCTTCCCAGAGGGTCCATTGTGGGGGCGTGAATGGCTGGTTATACTCCTGCAGCAGTGTGTCGCAGATATATATATATATATACACTATATTGCCAAAAGTATTTGCTCACCTGCCTTGACTCACATATGAGCTTAAGTGACATCCCGTTCCTAATCCATAGGGTTCAATATGACGTCGGTCCACCCTTTGCAGCTAGAACAGCTTCAACTCTTCTGGGAAGGCTGTCCACAAGGTTTAGGAGTGTGTTTATGGGAATTTTTGACCATTCTTCCAGAAGCGCATTTGTGAGGTCGCACACTGATGTTGGACGAGAAGGCCTGGCTCTCAGTCTCCGCTCTAATTCATCCCAAAGGTGTTCTATCGGGTTGAGGTCAGGACTCTGTGCAGGCCAGTCAAGTTCATCCACACCAGACTCTGTCATCCATGTCTTTATGGACCTTGCTTTGTGCACTGGTGCACAGTCATGTTGGAAGAGGAAGGGGCCAGCTCCAAACTGTTCCCACAAAGTTGGGAGCATGGAATTGTCCAAAATGTCTTGGGATGCTGAAGCATTCAGAGTTCCTTTCACTGGAACTAAGGGGCCAAGCCCAGCTCCTGAAAAACAACCCCACACCATAATCCCCCCTCCAACAAACTTTACACTTGGCACAATGCAGTCAGACAAGTACCGTTCTCCTGGCAACCGCCAAACCCAGACCCGTCCATCAGATTGCCAGATGGAGAAGCGCGATTCGTCACTCCAGAGAACGCGTCTCCACTGCTCTAGAGTCCAGTGGCGGCGTGCTTTACACCACCGCATCCGACGCTTTGCATTGCACTTGGTGATGTATGGCTTGGATGCAGCTGCTCGACCATGGAAACCCATTCCATGAAGCTCTCTGCGCACTGTTCTTGAGCTAATCTGAAGGCCACATGAAGTTTGGAGGTCTGTAGTGATTGACTCTGCAGAAAGTTGGCGACCTCTTCGCACTATGCGCGTCAGCATCCGCTGACCCCGCTCCGTCAGTTTACGTGGCCTACCACTTCGTGGCTGAGTTGCTGTCGTTCCCAAACACTTCCATTTTCTTATAATACAGCTGACAGTTGACTGTGGAATATTTAGGAGCGAGGAAATTTCACGACTGGATTTGTTGCACAGGTGGCATCCTATCACAGTTCCACGCTGGAATTCACTGAGCTCCTGAGAGCGACCCATTCTTTCACAAATGTTTGTAAAAACAGTCTGCATGCCTAGGTGCTTGAATTTATACACCTGTGGCCATGGAAGTGATTGGAACACCTGATTCCAATAATTTGGATGGGTGAGCAAATACTTTTGGCAATATAGTGTATATATATATATATATATATATATATATATATATATATATATATATATATATATATATATATATATTAGTGCTGTCAAAATTATCGCGTTATTATCGCGTTAACGCGAGGCCATTTTAACGGCGATAATTTTTTTAACGTGAGATTAACGCTATGTGGTTTTATGGTACAATTTTCCAAGTACATCCCGCTGCAGCCTGCGGGAAGGCGGGGCTATTTTCCCCCAGTCTATGCATTTCTCATAGGCTTCAAGAGCGGAGCTCCTCAAGGAAAAAAGACGCTCATACACTGGGTGGCGCTAGTGCCTTTTCTTTAAGCCCCACCACCAACAAACAAGTTGAGTGTCTGGTAACTAGTAGCAACCTGAAATAGGCTGAGAAAACAGATTACTGAGGTGAAATGGAATCTGCTACGGCACTCTTGCTGTCTGTGTACGCCACAGGTCGGTATCGTGTGTGTGTGTATGTGGGTGTGGGTGTGTGTGGGTGTGTGGGTGTGTGTGTGTTCTCATTTTAGTTAAGAGGCTGAAAAGTAACTTTCTAGAGCATAGACTACCTCCATCTAGTGATGTCGGTCTATTGATTTTGATGTATTGATTGAAAATTGTTCATTATTATCTTGGTTAATTAACATCTAATGTTAACTGTACTACATTTTATAGCAGTAGGGTAAAATGCTTGTCTTTGTTCAAAAGACTGTATTAACTGTAAAGACTGTCTTTTACATCAGCCTGTTTTCAGGGCCTTTTTTTTTGGCTACATATTTGTTATTTTTGGCATAAATCAGTGTCTGTGACCTGTTTTCATTTTAAAAAAAGAACATTGGCACAAACCTAGCCTGTATGTACTTTTTGTATGTCATCGAGAGTATTTAAATGATTTTCAATCAGGAAAAAAATGTGCGATTAAAATGCGATTAATCGTGAGTTAACTCAGGCATTGATGCGATTAATCGCGATTAAAAAATTTTTATCGATTGACAGCACTAATATATATATATATATATATATATATATATATATATTTTTTGAGTTTTTCCTCCAGTAGTGGCTCGCCATTTCAATAGTAGGCTGACAGTAAAAGGGGTGAGACATGCAGAAAAGGACCACAGGCCGGACCCGCGTCGTGTGCTCCAACCTCTGCATCACCCACACGCCTGTCGCAGATATTTTTGATTTATGCCCAATATTGAAGCGTGGCCTGTGCTATGTTTTTTGTATGTGTTTTTACGGCACTAGTGGCCCGTTTTATGGACAGTAGGCTGACAGGAAAGGGAGTACGAGAGAGGGGGAGAGACATGCAGGAATGGACCACAGGCCGGATGCGCCTACATGGAGGACTAAGGCCTCCATACATGGGGTGTGTGTGCTAAGTACCACTGCGCCACCAAAGCATGCCCAGGCCTGGGCTATGTTATTCCACGCCACTACATAAGAGGGACAATAGCAAACTAGCTGTGGGTCTAGACACGGCCGAGGCAGTGTGGAAGTGGGGGCAAGTTTGTGCGACAACAGAGGGACATGAGAGCGAAAAAGAGCGGGGATCCACGTGGAAAAAGGGTCTCAGTGTTCTCGTTCACCTTGCTCTTCTTGCTGATCCATCTTCACGAGTCGTTTTCCACAATGGCGGTCATACAAACAACACATAGTGTAGAGCGTATGTAGATTTGACCAATCAGAGGCCTCCTGTCTGCGGCACTGTCTGCGGTTACCTACAATTTTGGAGAGGTGCAGCAGAGTGGCTGCGACACACATGCATCTGGTTTCTGTATATCAGCATTGAGGAGTCATTGATAATGTTAGCATCACAATCTGTTCCAGGTCCCTAATTATACCAGAAACAGATTCATGAAGTAAATTGACATTTTATTTATTTATCTTTTTGATTTTTAGAAGTTTAATTGGTTCTGCACTTCACTAAAACACATGAAAGGAAAGACTGCTTAACGGTATAACCCGATAGAAAATCTTGATTTATTGAAAAACCCTACCCTATCTGTCTCCTGTGGTTTTATTCATTTTTTTCTCTCTCATTTTTCCCCATCTCTAATTCTTGTAAATCTCTCCCATATATGCGTCTGTTGTATGCGGAAGAGGATTAGGGCCACTGAAAAAAAAAGAAGAAAAAGTTAACTGATTTTTAAATATTATTTTAGTTTAATATTCTCAGAGTTCTGACTTTAATCCCGGAATTTTAGATCTTAATGTTGGGCACCATGAAGGAAGAGATGTGGGAGCACTTAGCATCACTGACAAAGATGTGAGTTGTTTGAGAGAACCGGTGACACAGTGGTGGGAAATGACGCAATTAGGCGACTTTTTACGTGACCGAGGGGTCCACGGTCTTTAGTTGAAGTCAGAATTCTGAGATTAAAGTCAGAATTCTGACTTTTTTCTTATATTATACAGAAATAAAGTCTAAAAATCAGCTAACTTTTTTATTTTTTTCAGTGGCCCTAATCCTCTCCTATGGAAGCCCGTTTCCGCCACTCTGTAAAAAAATTAATAAATAAATAATAATAATAATCTCTTTATAATGAGATAGTATCTCAATATAATGAGATACTGTAGTATCTCAATATAATGGGATACTAACTCAATATAATGAGATACTATCTAAATATAATTAGATAGTAACTCAATCTAATGAGATAGTATCTCATTATAATGAGATGATTTATTTATTTTTTCTTTTACAGAGTGGCGGAAACGGGCTTCCATACTCTTCTGTAGTTGTATTTGAATATCCAACTTAAATGTTTTCATAAATCATAAAAAAACTCAATAAAGAAAATTAAAAAGTCCTAGTTTGCTCCCAGGCCCCGCCCCGTCCTCTTCCCGGGGAGGGGACGGGGCGGGGCCTTCCTCTACTCCAGCCAACCTCTGCTCAAAATGCCTGGAATTCCATTTCCGC